CCTTACGAATAAAGTTTGTATGACGTTGATTTTGTGAGTCCTTGGATTGTTGCTATTGTAATTGAGAATTTGATCTGTACGGGTTGGCTTCCGATATACTTGAGTCTCCAGTTTTCCTGTGTCAGTCCTGGTTATTAATACATCCAAGAATGACATTTTATCGTTTGATTCCTGTTCCATTGTGAACCTTATGTCATCGAAGGCATTGTTGATCAGACTGTAGATGTTTTCCAGCTCGTCCTTTTTGACGATGGCGAATGTGTTGTCTACATAACGAATCCAAACTTTTGGCTTGATCACTGGTAAGATCGAGGTTTCCAGCCTCTGCATCACTGATTCTGTAATAAGTCCTGATATTGGTGATACCATCGATGAGACATAATTATTCGTATGAAACTTCTAACTCAAAGCTATATTTAGTTTCACTCTAATTATTTCTATTGAAGGAAAGGCAATGGCAGTAGTCTTGGTTGATTCCTATTTTGAAAGTCTATAATACATCTTTATTCTCTTATTCATTAACTTGCTCACTAACTTGTGATTTAAACTGTTTTTACTATTAAGTCCTTTACTTGATTACGGCAGACTACGATGTACGACTAACGGCACGTGAATGTGTAAAACCTCGCGGTCGCAAAATCAGAAGCCAGAAGAAACAACGGAGGTAATTATTGGGTAAGAATAAAAAATGTACAGAAAAAAAACATGGGTATTTATAGTTATTAGCGTTGGCTATAACGTCATTATAGTTCAGTCAATCCTCAAGGGGGCAAGTTATGCTACCATCCAATCGTGGCACGCTACGTCGATAATCTGGAAGGCTCTGTCGGGCTCTGATTGGACGGAAACTCTTCGGCTCCTTTAGAGCCTCTGAAGGCCTCGCCATGCTTCTCAACGCCATCACAACATTTACATAGTTTGATTAAGGATTTTCTGAAACGTTGATAAGCCTTATTTCTCAATAGTATTCATCATAGTTTGCTATCGGTAAACATTGGATCGCTTTCACTACAAAAATTCTCAATGTTAGAGTGCACCTACGACCTCAGAGTTGTGAGAGGTTGAATCTTTTAGGTTTTGCAAGAAACAAGCTGCATTAGAATCACTCAAAATTCAGTGGTCAACATTCCTAACTTAACGTTAAAACTAAACACTGTTTTGGCATTAAGAATCTAAATAACTAAATAGTACATCTTACGGTTGAATATTTGTACAATAACAGATTGTAGAAACAGCAAGCTTTCTTCATTTAATCAAGTTTACTGATTCATTGTATTAGTTAATTTCAACAAGTTAAAACACTTATGTTTAATACTCGCTGTTGATTGCCATTAAAATTTATAAAATAAAATGAATATCTCATTCTTGACTTTGGTATTGAACTGAAAACTTTACAGTTGAAACTGAGTAAACATTATAAAGAGTATTGTCTTGATAATTCATCATTTAATTCAACAATTCTATACCGGTTGTTTAGGTGCAAATATTATGTGAAGATTAGAGATACTGACTCAACATCATACACACAAGATGGCGAAGTAATTTACGAACATGTAATAAAATGGTTGCTACTCGTGCTTTTAAACTAAAGAGACACTATAACGTGTTAAGTGAAAGAAAATGACTGATTCTAAGCAACGTTTCGGTCTGATTAAATTATCATACATACTAATAACAACACTTTAGGTAACCTTAATATTCTCATTCCTTTTAATAACAAGTGAGTTTACAGATGAACTGAAAATCCTTCGTTCTATTGATGAAATTTAAACGTGCTTAAAATGGTTTATTATCAAGGTTCATTACTGATTTTTTAACCACAAATTCAGGATAAATAGAGTAATGAAACTCATTCATTCGACTTTATATCACTTAGCTTCTGAGTCATTTGTACGGTTGTAGATGGTCTTTTTCGAATGATTTCATGATTTTCTCCTCGTTTACAGGCAAATGAAACAAGGAACATTGGTGAACGTAGATTCTATAATTAAATTCAAATCTATTTCAACGTTTGTACACTACATGAATATCAAGTGTCCAATGCCTGGTTATTATGAACATGATTGGTCTAAAATTTAGCTTTGAACAGATATACGAGAAAAGAATCGTCAGCATCGGGGGGTGTGGAATCATATTAAGATGTAACTTAGATCAGTTCTTAATCACGAAAACAAGTTACCAAAACAACTTGCTTAAATGAGAGTAGACATCTCACCTACCCTTAAACTGACTTGGTACTGTTTCTTCCTACGTGTATCCAAAAGCATCATTCAGAAACAAGTTCGAAAATTTAATTTCGCACAATTCTCAGTAAATCCCAATGTTTATGATTCTACCATGGAATCAAATATATAATTTTTAAACCAAATTCAACTACTTGTTAGTAGTATGGGAGATTCATGAAAATCGTAGTATTTACACGGTTGAAATCACAAATCGATTTAAACTAGACCACTATTGAAAGCCCGGAAACATTAGTCGGGTGTGAGACAGTTATTCACCTCAGGAAATGGATGAAGGGTCATGCGATATCGTAAATTGATTAGAGCCACACATTAACATCGTTTGATGCTGGCTCAGTGGTCCAGAGGTTAGGCGTTCGCGAGTGAGACCGAAGGTCCTGTGTTCGAGTCCCACGTGCGTAGTCATGGATTCAGGCTACTTGTCAGTAGCTAATTTCTGTCACCAAAACTAAAAAATCTGCTAATATTCTTACTAAAGTGAATGTACAGAAAGTGCATTAGAAACATATGATGTGCGTTTGAAATAATTAGTCCAATTTCAATATTTATTAAGGTAGATAAGACGAATTATGAAGTTAACTTATATCAAAATAGATATGGATGGGAACAGTAAAACAATTATGAACGGAAAACCTTCTAGGCAATTCAACAGCATGTGAACAATGTGTGTATGCTCTGAATACGTCGTTTGAAACTATCAGGAAGAAAATTTCAAGCTATAAAGTAATGTCAGTCAGACAACAAATATAGATCTTTGGTGTTTATGCTTAAAACCCTGAAACATGTATGGAAAATATGATATAATAAGAATTCCTAAGGAAATCCATTCAATAGGACCTATAATATTTTCTAAGAATACACTTACGCGTGCCTGAAGACCTCAAGATGTCGTGGCGACCACTCCATTTTTAGATACGTGAAATGGTACTTCCAACTTGAAATAAACATCACTGATTATACTGAATGAAAATCACGCCATATACTTACTTCACTGTGGTTGAAAATTCGATCCATTGGATGTCGGTTCATTGAAATGAATAGGTAGTGTGTTTGCCTTTAAATAAGAAAGTCTTGATTTCGATTCTATCCAAGGTTGTGGGTGAGCACCGGTTAGAAGTTCAAGAATAGAAGAAAACAGATAAATAATTGTAAACCCTTGATGAAAATAGTTTAAACTCCACATAACACATAAATAAAGTTGATCATAACAACTGATCGAAAGATAAAATCTGTATTATTATACATTTTTCTTGAAATTGCAACGTAGATGACATAAAATAGATATTGATTACAAGAAACATAGTAATGAAAACGTTATACTTTATCATCATGGCTTAATCATAGTTTGATTTCACGATATAACGAATATCTAAACGAATAATCACATTTTGGTAGTGCTACGTTTCCTAAGCAGGATACGGTTTAATCTTGTAATTATTTCAAACAGTACCACCATCGTCTTGTTCACAGATACCAGACCAAACTAATTTAACACTTATAGAGTACTTCTCAATACACTTAGTTATATTTGAAGTAGTTGCTACTGATCTTGTTTCGATAAAAGTCTGTTCTCTCGTATATAGTCAACGTAGTTCATGGTATAAACGTGTGTCAACCCAAACTGGTATTACCACATTAGAGTAATGAAATAAATTTAAGAAGATGAGCAGAAAGAGAAATTGGAAGAGTGTAGTTATCAGTCATATGAGAGAAACTAAACGTCGAGAATGTAATTCAGGAAGATGAAATGAAAGATTATTGCTATAATTTGTCGTTTGAATGCTTATTGTCTTGGCTCTTTTAATGCTACATTTTGTATCTGGTCGTCGCTGATTGTTATGTCGGAAACGCTTATCACTTATACTCGGAACGAGGGACCTCTGCAATTCCCACGACGAGAAAATAAGAACACAAAGACTGGTATAAGTGGTGATTCATTAACCCCAAAACACGACGACGACGACGACGAAAACGACTCTAGTAGAAAATACACTCATATATTGATTGTACACCCATTTTGATTAATAATGGGGATGAAATCACATATATGAAAAATACTTCGAGTTATAACAAATCACATACTGAACATAGTTCATGTCAATTAAATACAAGAATATCGTATATTCTACAGAATAAAATATCATACGAGAATAGAAAACCAATACTACATTGAGTAATCACTACATTGAATGAAAACGGAAGTAATGTTGAACCAAAACTTATAATGAGTAAATCAGTCGAAAATTGACTTTTCTTTCCATTATATCATCTCCCCTTCTTTTTTTGAAGACTCTATGTTGAGATCCATCTTTAAATTTTATGACTTCATCCTCCCCCACGAAATAATGTTGGGTCCTCATATTCCCAAGTTACAGTTAGTTTGACTCTATTTAAAGCATATTTCCTGCATTGAGTAGAGGGTCTACTAGAACTGACTAAATGGTGAGGATCAGAGACACTAGATATGAGGTCATTAAGGTTTGATTCTTGTGAAACATTTTCATCAGATTTCTTGAAAATCTTATTTGTAGATAATCGATCACTAGAATAATCAGCATCTATCAAAATTTTATTAGGTTCTTGATCATCGTTTGATGCATCCGACAAATTTTCCTCATTTTTGTAAGAAATTTGATCAAAAGAATGAGTCATTAAGATAACTCATATCTGGTAAAACAACTAGAGAACCCCAATAAGTACATTCATCAGAAACTTTTGTCGTAGAATGAGGAGCTCCATTTAATGCAATTGTCTTCATTATGATGCTTGATTCATTTTCTGTTTTTTTTTGTGAGCGGGTACTGCAATAATTTCATGAGTATTTAATAAGACAGTGTCTTTCTGTGAGCTGGAAAATCCAGTGTTTGTAGATGGTGTTTCGGGGACAATGGGATTTGAACGCACGACAAGGCATGTTTCTGAAAAGGACATTTCTTGATCACTGGGCGCATCATGAATGACTGCCACTAATTCGTTTACATTACCGCTTATCAAGGATTCACGAAGGGTTTCATCGACACGTTTATACGTTCTGCAGTCATTTTCCAGCTCTGTGTGCAAATTAGAAATTAATTTGTCAACTTCTGTCACACTCAACTGGCTCTTTTTGAAACGCTGCTGTTGTCGCTCAAATAGCAACTGTAATTGATCGGAAGAAATAGCCATTTTCAGAATCAGCACGGTAATAAAAAATACTGTATGACTAATTAACAATCAATGTCGTTGAAGGACAGCGGCGAGAATTTTGTATGCTGATTGCTCGAAATAATTACACTGAATTTTGTCCAATTACAGACTAACCTTGATTCGTTAATTTCAAGATTGAAGGTTCAGAATTTTCTCTCACCTCATCGCCAATTGTTATAACTTGTCGTTTGAATGCTTATTTTCTTGGCTCTTTTCAAGATAAAGTATCAACCGACAGGCAGATGCCCTCTCACGATTGATTGGTTCGCATGCAAAACAAGAAGAGGAAGTGCTTGTAGCTGCTATAGATGTTGAGGCTGAGGTTCACAAAGTATTGACAAACGCAGTTTCCGGATTCACGGTCACATTCGAAGCCATTAAAGAAGCTAGCAAGAATGATAATGCATTGAAGATTGTTCGTCACTGCATGCTCAACAAGTGGCCTTCATCTAGGCTACATGGAGAACTCTTACAACGTTTTCGTCGACGAGTCATTAACAGTTGTCGATTTGTGCAACATGTTTGGCCACCGTATCGTTATTCTCAGACATCTTCGACACCAAGTCATTAAGCAGTTCCACAGCGTGCACCCGGGAATAAGTAAAATCAAATCACTAGCTCGCAGCTATGCATAATGGCCGTCAATGAGCCATGATATAGAACAAAAATGTCTCAGTTGTTGGTCCTGTCTAGAGGCTGCGAAGAATCCAACGAAAGCTGAACCACAACCATAGACAAAGCCGGACGGGCCTTGGCAAAGAATATACGCTGATTTCGCCGGACCAATACAAGGCAGAAATTACTTAGTTGCTGTCGATGCTTTCACAAAATGGTCAGAAGTATATGACATGCCGAAAACGACATCAGAGAGTACAATAAGAAGATTGTCAGAATTGTTTGCTTGTTTCGGGGTTCCAGAGATCTTAGTGACCGACAACGGCACTCAGTTTATGTCATCCGCTTTCAAACGCTTTTGAAGTGAAAATGGTATATCGCATCTACGATCTCCTCCATACCTTACTCAGTCGAATGGCCAAGAAGAAAGGTTCGTGGGTACGATAAAAGAGAGCTCTGGTCAAAGGGGGAGGTGAGGGTATCCCAGAACAAGTGATCAGTAAGTTCCTAATGCCTTACAGAGTTACCCCTAATCCGGCAGTATCAGAAGGAAAGTCACCAGCCGAGTGTATGTTCGGGAGGAAACTCCGGACAGTCTTTAACAGTATGTTGGACCACGGGTAAACTCGAGGAAGCTGTAAGAGGCTCAGAAAGAGCCGAAGATATTCCATCCAATCACCTTTTGGAAGAATATTCTAGAATTCCTACGTGTAGCTTCCCGATTGGACAATGCTAATAACCCCCTGTATGCGGATTGGAGGGCTGTAATGATGATTCCATTCTTCCTGAAAACTATAAATACCTGACAATTTTGTACTATAATTGACATTGTCTGGGAATGATATTCCTTTCATTAGCCTTCTGTCTTCTCATTGTGCCTTGGAAGGGTTCTGGTGTTCTAATGCTCACGTTATACGCAGTATACCAAGAACAACCTTCCAGATATGACAGTTATGTATAAAGGAATACTGAGACTCAAGATCGAAGAATGATAGAAAATGAATGCATCTCTGCCATCACGACCGGTTATAAGCTATTTCACCCAATATCTTCAACCACTGATAACAATTATTAGACACATTCCAGCTAGACCATATGTCTCTACCAACATGCCTCAAAATAACTATCAATCACTGTTATAGATTGGTCTTATGTCTTGGTTTTAGGGCGCTAGTTTTCTTCCGGCCTTCTCTTTTTCTGGTCATCATTGGCTTCAAGATAGGCGATGGTCAGGGATATGTAATACATGTCCAAACCACCTGAGTCGATGAAAACATAGCATCATCAACAGTTTCACAATCTCGATAAAGAATAAGTCCTTTCATCAAATAATCTAACAGTATGAAACACCATCAAAGGCACTCGCGTGATGAGCTAGAAATCTCTTACGTCATTGTTAATGTATTACATACATCTAGTTTATTCTTCTAACCATTCAAAAGTTAATTACAAACAAGTATTTTAAAACCATTTTTTAGACGGAATAATGATGTAATTCAATCCGAAATTATTTGTAGATGACAAAATCATAGCCATTAGCACAAATAACACTATCTATGAAAGGCAATTTAAAAAGAATAGATTCTATTTGAGTGAATCATGATAAGTTTCTCCCGGGAATACAACTTTAAACGTTGATCGAGCAATACTCTTTGAAAGCATTTGGAAATTCACTTGGATCATGTCAAATATTAACCATTTCTCAAAATTATTTTCACCGTTTCTGATGTCAAAAAGTAATATCTCATATGCTGACGTTTTGTTTACATGATAAAACTTGGTATATATATACGCTTTATTGGAACGAATTTCAGTTTTACTGGTTTGCCATGTGTTTGGCTAGTTTTATCACTTTAGGCGAGCAAGTTAAAAAAGATTGTAATGTGGTCTGTGCTACTGGTGTCGACAGATATAAGTAGTATGTATCACCAATCGTAAGTGAAATGCATGGCGGCAGAAGATTAAGAAAATTGAAGAGGAGAGGAGGAGAACAGAAAGTGATTGGTGCGGAAACGAAGGAACAGTCAAGTCTGAGACAATTGATTGACACTGCAAATGAAGTATTTATTGCATGGTTCTCGTATTTTACTAAGAGATTCCGTAATCTTGTATTCAAATACATTTGGTTGTCCCCACCTGTGTTCTCGTTCACTACAGTAAGATCCACTAATCGGTGTGCCTCTGCATAGGCAGTATTATTGGAACGATTTTAATTGTATTATTGCTGAAAATATAGATCAAATTTCGATCATTGTTTGTTGACATATGTATATACGGTCCGGACTTTATCTATATAATCAATTTTCACAAAATTCAGTTGACATTTTCTATAAGTCTTGCTAGTTGAACTCTAGATTTGGCTCCTAAGCTCTTCTAGTAATCCCCAGGCTAGAACTATACAGCGAGTCGAAAACGAGAGAAAAGGCGCGAAAGATGCAAAGAACACTTTACTCTAAAGGTTCGTTTTTATACAGAAAATATAAGGTTTTTATAGTGTTTTAGGTGTCCTTGGGTTTCTGGAGAATTCTGGAATGTTACTAAACATAGTAGCAGTATAGTAATCATCCAATTGGAAATTCAACATGTAACTTCTCATTTTCTTGATGTTTCTGGCAAAGCTTCCGGTGAACGCTGGTTATTTAAGACACTTCTCAGTGTTTTCAGAGACTTTCTTGGCTTTTTTCGAGGTTTTCTGGATCTCCCTAACAATTTTCAACAACCGGACAGTGCAAATGCTTTTTAGTAATAACCTTAATATCATACATGTAGTAGAAGCCAATGGCTATCAAGACTCAGTGGCTTAGCTGAAAACGCGTTGAAGATTTGAAGCAAAAAGTACTGGGGCCAAAGCCAAGATGGAGTTAGGTTAACGTGATGAGCCCCAACTGAGATGAAACGTGCGCCCTGGATTCTATTGCCAACCACATTCTCATCTATCATATAGGAATTACTCGTAGGGCAATCGAAAATATTTGGGAGTTATCATAGAAACTCAGCCCAGAACATTACCAACTGGATAATACATATCCTCTTGAATAAAAATCATACCCGTCAGTGGCCTTGGCTTTTTGTTGATAGTTGTAGTAGTTCTTCACGTTTCACCTCCGTGTAATAGAACTGCATTGACGTTCGTATTGAAGATTCTGACAGTTGTTTTTGTCCCATATGCTCTTCGACTGTAGAAATACTGCCCTTGATTTGCCGATTCATGCATTAACATCTGTATCATATCATCCTTGTCTGTCGATGATGCTGATTAGATACGTGAAAGCTTCTATCCCTTCCAGAACTTCTCCATCAAGTGTGACTGCGTTGGTGCTCTCTGTGTTGTATTTGAGGATCTTGCTTTTCCCTTGTGTATGTATGTAATGCATTCAATCACTAGAGGAAAGAGAAAGGGAGAGAGTAGACAGCTTTGTCCGACACTGATTCTCAATTGGAATGCATGTGTCACATATTCTCCATGCACGACTTTGAAGTGTAATCCGTCATATGAATTCCGTATGATGTTGACGATCTTCTCAGACACACCATAATGTCGAAGTAGGTTCCTTAAGTTCCTCCTATCCACACTGTCAAGAGTTTTCTCATAATCAAGGAAGTTGATGTATAGTGACGAATTCCATTCAATCGAATGTTGAACGACGATCCGTAGTGTCGCAACCTGGTCTGTGCATGGTCGATTCTTACGGAACCCAGCCTGTTGATCTTGAAGTTGGACGTCTACTGTATCTTCCACTCGGTTCAACAACACTCTGTTGAAAACTTTTCCTGATACCGATAGTAGTGTGAAGCCTCTGTGTTTCTAACACTTGCTGAGATCCGCTTTCTTTGGTATCTCGATGAGATTTCCTTCTTTTCAGTCTGTCGTCACTTGTTCTTCCTCCCAAATCTTTATGAATAGAATGCGGAGCATGTTTGCAGTTACCTCTATGTCTGACTTCGATGCTTCAGGTGGTAGATTTTCAGAGCGTGCTGTTTCCCCACTCTTGATTTGTCTGATGGCCATGTTGATTTCCTCGACCGTTGTGGAATGACATCTATGGGAAGGTCTGTGTATTTTGCTTCGATGTCTGGTGAGTTCAGTGAGACTGATCTTCTCAAGAGTTCTTCAAAGTGTTCTACCCATCTGTTCCTCTGTTCCTGAATCTGAGTGATTGGCATGCTTTCTTTGTCCTTGACCGGTCTCTCTGCTTTCTCAGTTGAAATGCAACTGCCACGTGTCCTCCATGCACGACCTTGCGCTGTACTGCAGTCCGCCTGTAGCTCTTTTAGTGCTACTGCCGGTCAAAAACCCGAGTAAAGGAGGAGAGTTGGGCATGTGGTCGGCAACCTCAATCTGTAGAAGACAACTACATAGGTTT